TGTATTTGTTTTGTCCTTTTTATTTTGCGTGTAAACGAACTTAGCCGTTTAGTCCACTACACCAGTGCGTAGACATGCAGCGTTTAGCAGAAGGAAAAAGATCATAGTTTCAGAAAATACTACCAATTTAGTTCTTCTATGTGGTTCAGCGACTTGGCGTGTGCATCATCAAAATCACCTTAAATAGGCTCGTATAGACTTTCATCAACAAGCACCTTCACTGCATAACGAAGACCAGATGGCCAAAAAGCCAATATAACTGCATAAAAAGGAACTCTGCATAAAACCTAAACAAGTACTTATTGACAGGCAAATATGAAAAAGTAATTGTAGGTGGAGGAGACCGTTCAGTGATATCATGCGCCTAAATGGAGAATGACAAGATAGGTATCAGACAGTGACATAGAGAAGATCATGTGAGGAAGAAATAAGAGCTTATAAGGAATTTTTGAACCAGTTGAAAAGTACTGCAAAGTACAGAGTGAAATAGATTTGTCTTGCCTAAGCTTTATGTTCATCCAGGAACCCACAGGATTAATAATTACGACGAATATGATTGGCTGTTTAAGCTCATTTGAAAGGTCAGTTGCCTGGGTAACGAAATTTTAAAAAATAGACATTCTCAATTCACAACATAGCGCGACCACTTCGCAATATCATCTTCGATGAGTTACTACTTGACCTTCAACCTGTTGTACCCTATTAGTCACGGCTTCCCACTAGAACCCCAGGTTAACCGTATGAATAGGACCAGTAGCTAGTGAGCATTAGATTAATTTTCATGAATTGGCAGAAGTTGGAATTAATGAACTGGCCATTGGATTGGGTCCCAGTGGCCTAATGGTCTACGAGATAACTCGCCTTGTAACCAGAAGGTCGTGGGTTCGAGGCGCAGTTGGGTGGGCACATACTGATGGAGAGTCCCACACTAGGACAAAACAGCTGCCTTTCCAGTACTCCTGGGTTTTCGAATGGTTCTCCAACTGACGTCAGGTCATGCTGAAATCCTCCAACCAATCAAACAAAAGTCCCTGCAAAACCAATACTTGAAAGATATTCTCAATTTGTTGAAGGAAAAGGAGAGTGAATACTTTTGTGCTAATAGGTTGGGGGATTTATCTAGAAGTACCAACACCTACACACCACAGTAGAAGTAGTAATAAGACCTGGCTCTTACCATACTTGTTCCCACAATTCATAACAGACCTACATCATATAATTCATCTAAAGGGAAGCATAGAATTTTTCAATCTACTGTCACATTCATCTAATAATGTTTCTGTCACATGATTTTTGGTAGATTACATAATGCGTAATCAGTTAAGGTTTAAGCATATCCATTACTACTAGTGGGTAAATGAACGTAAAACAGGTCAGTGTTATCCAAACCCCCCCAACCCCGAGTATAAATTTCAACTCTTTTTTATTTCATCTTGTTATTAATTATGATACATAAGCAATAAAACACTAAGGCTTAATTATTAGTGAAGCTTACATAACAGTGACTGATCAGGGGATATTTATGGTCCTAACAAAGGTTGAAAGGAGTTTTTTCTTTTATGATTACTGGTAATTAAACTGACAGAAAAACAGCTGATGAGAAATGTTGAACTCCTCTGTTACTTCACTGACAGATGACAGATGACAGTTGCTATCACATGCAACATCATCAGTTTTAATGCTTACCAGCATAAGAGTAATTTATTCTCGAGACAGCAATTTTACCTTATTTTTTCTCCGTACACTTTTAAATAGGCTAAAAAAGATTTTATGTTTGTAATGTAATCATGTATCCAAGGTAGAAGAACATGAAAAAACATTGCAAATCTAAACTAACATCATTTAGAGAACGATTGAAAATCATGGAGTATGGGACAGTTGTTTCGTCCCAATATGGAACTCTTCAGTAGTAGCAAGCGATTATGTGTGATTATGTATGAAAGGTAAGTCGCTGGATACATGGAGATGGTGGACAGGCGGTCTCATCAGTAGGAAAATATGTTGTGTGCATAATGATCACAAAATTGATATTATGACAGATTTTAAAAATTCCACAAAAAGCTATCATGCTGTTATATTGGGAGTACTAGAGAACTGTTTCGTCCTAGTTTGGGAATCATCAATCCGTGGTATAACCCTATATCCCCTAAAAATTAATCCTATGCCCGCTAATTGCTGGCTACAGGATGAAGTTGTCCGCAGTTCTGATGAGAAGTCGTGACCAGTGAGGTCCATCCAGTCAAGTGTGAGTATGGATTTCCCGCCTGTGACATTGTTAGGTGGTCACACTAGATCACGAATTAGTAGGAGTTAGAATTCATCCGCTGGTCATTTAATCGGGTATACGAAAATGCATTGTGACTGGAAGGTCGTGAATTCTAACCCTGACAGTGGGTGCTTACTGCCGATGAATCCAAACTAGGACGAAACAGCTGTCCAGTACTCCTATGTGGTTTTCATTAGTTCTCTGGATGATATAAATTCATGATCTAAACCTGAAAGTTACGTGTATTGCATTCAAGTCTGATGAGATCTAATTGAAAGACTGTTATTCACTTACATGTGCTGTTATTAACTCTGCACACTTGTCAAATGGATGCTAAAGCACCTTGCTTCTCTTCTAATAAAAACCTAACAATTATCAAGTTTTATAATCCTCACTTCCATTATGCTGCTGACTTTTACATAACCTTACTTTACCTTTAAAAACCAATCCTGAGTTATTGTATGAATTATATCACTCAATAAGAGACTGCTATACGTTTCTGGCGAATACAAATACAACCAACTGTACAGCCTTTGACGACTCACTTCATTGATAAAGAAAATTTTCTCCACTGAATTATCTTCTTCATATTGTTAAACAATCAATCATGATTTCAAACACTTCAATTAAAGACCTCCTCAATGTACTTTCATGTAGTCTGTCGGAATATGTGTAGAGTGAAGGTCATGAGATTTAGACTTGCGTATTGTTCATCTAGTTCTAAAAACCATGTGTATTCATTCCGGTTGGCCACCTATTAGGTAACGAATTTCCAAACTGAAAGTGGCACATTATGCAAACAGTGCAAAGGATGTCAGAATACAAATTAAGAAGGATTCTTTATCGTTCATTTTTTCTTGTCATTCCTCTTGCATCTCAAGTGGAAGATGAAACTTCTAAAGCTTCAAGTTATTAAGCAATCAGTTCCCTTTATGAATAATAATAATAATAGTAATAAACTGTCTTATTGTTTTCTCGAAATTCAAGGTATAAGCTTCCAGTTTTCGTTAGCGTTAGTGTTTCGTATTGCAGAATATGGTCGCTAGTCTCGGGCCTACTACCAACTAAGGGAGGTACAGAAGTGCTTTTATCGTGGTTGGTAAAAATTCAACCACTGAACCAGTAACACTAAGTAAATATTGATTGATGAGACTATTTGAAATATCTACGGGTTCGGAAACCATGATTTACTCAATAGCTAATGAATAAAGATGAAATGAAAATCTGAATCACTGTACGATTAAAAAGAACACCCACCCCAATCAATAGTCTGCTGCTCTATCAGCTAAGCTATGATCACTTTGCTATAGGCACCACGAGTTCAAATCCTGTCATGACTAAGATCTTCATTTCATCATCTATCGTCACTTTTTTAACGCTAATAGCAGTCTGCTTAGCCAAGATTGCCTCAGAGGGTCGTATCACCGACTGGGAATTTACTCCTCTCCTTCGAATTCATTGAGATAATGACTGACAGAAGAAGTCCTGTTTGGACTAGAAGTGCTGTTATGCTAAACGGAAAGTAACGACGTATCACTGGTTCACATGGCTGTTGATTTAGTGGTTACTGTGTCGTGATAATCTCGTTGTCAATTGTGCCGCGATGACTGAGTCAATAGAACACCCGACTAGTATTTTGTGGGCGGCGGGTTCGAACCCTGCCATAACTTGGGTATTCGCCTTCAATCATCAATAACCACATCTATAAACAATACGTTTCATACATATTGAGATCATTTTAAACCAAGGGAACAGATCACAGGAAAAATGACAAGTGAACAAACCTTTCAATTAAGCTTTTCGGTAAAATTCAAAAGGTTAAAACGAGACTGGAATTTAGAGTGTACTACTTTTGGCTGACATATTATAAAACTACAAAAACAGGAGCTTTCTCTGCCTGAAAATAACGACACATCAAATCAAAACCTGGTGAACTGAACCATGCGGTACACCGTGAAAAGTAAGAAGACGGGAATGTATCTGAACGATAAGATAGTATGTGTTTAATATCATACAAATTCTAAGGTCTAAATACCAAAACTCACAGGTTGGTAAAAGAGGCTGGCAAAGAAGACAGGACTTCGACTGAGCATAGAAAAGGCACCAATCACAATCAAAGAGAGAAATTTCAAGCAAGCTAACCATTTCATCAATCTAGACAAAATTGTCTCAACTACACGAGGAATGGTTGAAGATGCGAAAGGCAGGATTAGCAAGGCAAAAGAGATCTTTATTATTCTCAAATCAGTGTGAAAATCGAATGCACTCAGCGCGAAGAACAAAATTCGGACTTTAGACACTAACGTTGAGTCACTGGTTCTATATGTTTCACAGAAATGTCATGGACTTCATGAAAATCATTTTGAACAGGCTTCAGACAGCTACTTTTGCTCGGTGCTGAAGACATCATGGCCAGAAAGGATTGGCAGACAGTGAACTAGCCTAGAATCCTTTTCCCCCATAATTTTGCAGGAATACAGGTGGATTAGACGCATGCTGAAGACACCTCTGACCGGAGTCATGCGTCAGGTATACGCTCTAGTGGAACCAGAATGAAAAGCGGATATCCGATTGGGCATGAAATGAAGATATGCTCGGAACTTGAGAGATTAATAGCCATAAACTACAGCTACAAGTGAACTGCCCAGTCACAAATTCTCAAATACAATTAACACTTAGGCGCAAAAGTAAAGTGAACAAGAGCAAAGGCAATAAAATTCAAACAATCACTTACCAAACCATGTCATTTCAAAGCCACCATGTTTTTTATGCGTTACACAATGCAACTTTTTAATCACCTTATCCCAATCTAAATGCCGTGCTGCAACTGGTGCCATCCATCGATATACTGTATTGTCAGTATTTCCTGGTTCTTGGATAAAGAATTTGATCGATAATAATCTTGGTCTTGAAGAAGACATCGGGTGTAAGCTGTGTTTTTCAATTATTACGACTATTATTACTATTACTATAAAGTGTGTACAGTCGTCTCACTTTGATGACACTAAGCAAGACTTGTGGGATATGAAAGGTACTTTTTCTCTGTTCTATATATTTCTTGTGAACTATCGATTAGTATTATGCAAATTCACGTGTAGACTATTCACAAACATTAAAACATGATTTATATATATACGCATATAGGTATGTGTTCTTATTACAATGTAAAGGCCTTATTGTCTATTGGTCAATTCATGAATGAACCAAAACCAACCTTTGTCTTTCTCTCTCCACCTGTCTTCGCTGTCTCAAATGTAGTTTTATTGTGCAACACTCAGAGTAACATGATAGATCAAAACATGTGACTAATTGCAGTGGATTGATTATCTTTTCAAATGAATAAGTGAATGAATGAATGGATTGATGAGTGAATAAGATTTTGAACCCGGTTTGAGGGATTCAAACAAATAAAAAGACAAAAAATGCGGGTAATAATCTACGTGAGTAATTCACATAGCTGATTATGAATAAATCAACGTTAATCGGTAGATGAATCGACCTGACGACCTGTTAAAAATCTACTAAGTGTACATCAGGTACTCAAAAATTGTTTCAGTGTCTGTGAAATTTATGGCTAAAATGTATTTGGGTCAGTATATCCGAGTGTTTGTAGGTTTGATTACTGCAGAAACCTACGTTTCTAGTTCGTCTGTTATTATTCCTCTATTATTAACAGTATATATTTGAACTCTAGCAGCTTATCTGAGGAATGTGTCTAAGCGCTGTGAACATTATGTCACAAGGCAGCACTAATCATCTCTATATACGGTTTATAGCAGGTCACGAGAGAGGGTTGATACTAGTCAAGGATGACACTGGTTAGTGGTTCGAACCCTGGTGGTGGACGCCTACAGCTGAAGAGTCTCAAACTAGAGGAAACACCTGTTAAGCACTTCTACTTTTTCCAATGGTTCTCTAACTAATGTCACTTAGTGATGAAATCCTGTAACCGATCTTTATATTGTACCTATCATTAACAGACTTGATAAAAGTAACATACGAAAATAGCTGTGAGCAGTTTCTAGTTCCTAGTACAGATCGATGATGCCTTAGGATAATATCAGTGTAGAATGTAACTTCATATCAGATAAGTTTATTTAACACATAAAAACAGTAATGTAGTATTCATAACTGGATGGCGGTTCAAAAACAATTTATAGCTCACAATCATGTCATTGCATTTACACGACTTCCTAAATGACTCCATGTACCTTTGCTTCCACATGTTTTTTTAATACATATTCCATATATCTGGGATAGGTGTTGCGTGACTTCTGTCACATATATTTCGTCTTGAATCAGTGAACGACGACTCAATGATCAACATATCTGTTCACCTGATTATGATACTTTTTAATACTTCTCACGTAGCCCATCTTATTGTGTGATTACGTCCAAGTGGATGCATCACAGTGGGTAAGCTTTTTTCTCAGTTGCTAAATTTGGCTGAGTCAATGCTCCCTACATTCGGACAACCTAATTGACCTAAAATCGGCTAGTCTAACATACATACATAATTGACCTCAAAGTTATTAGATGGTACTCGGTTAACAATATTATTCTTCCTACTTATATTCGTTGGATCTTTGAGCCAACAAAGTTTTCTCTGAGTGAGTTGGCTGGTTTAAGTGTCACCCTAACTGAAACTGATAAATCAGTTAGAAAATCCCTCCTAAACGAACTATTTTTAATATTTGTGCTTATTCAGACATTTCAACAAATCTTGTGATTGTTACACGCCTTTCCCCTTGACCGTGTATCATTAATCTGACATTTGAATATCACATGTTGATTTTGACCTTTACTAGTTGTCTATGTCCTTGTTTAACCTTTAATTGTGACACTTCTCTTTGTGGCTATGTGTACACTGACAATGTGTTGTTTAACGATATGAGTTTGTTTGGGTGACTGAACGTGGTTCTGACTCAGGACTGTCTGCGGGAAGCGGTGGTGTGTGATTCTTGTGGACAGAGCTTTTGATCCGACCCCGCTAAGGATATTCACCTTGATTCTAAGGCATTTTTTAAAGCTGAACTATGGTTAACTAACTTTGTTCTACAGTACTTGTATTGTAAGTAAAAACATACCTTGCCTGTATAACTGTCTCACGGCACTGTTTTTTTTTTTGAGTTTGAGTGTTGTAATCGTTTAATAGAACCGCTGAAATATTGAAGGATAATTATCTTTTCCTTGCGTTTGAAACGTTTCATGATAGCGCCTGTCTCAATGGACTTTTGTGAGCTAATGGGTAGAAAGTAGAGATAAGTTTCTTACTTTCAGAATATAAGTGAATAAATTTGGTTATTGCATTAACTTCAGCCCCCTGAAGAATCCTACATAGAGCATTTGGTGTTCCTACTTTATGTGGTGGTACCACTGGGGCTTCCAATTATTTATCATTTGTAAGAATTTCAGTGTTAACATTACTGATTTTACTTTCTTTGCGTCTTCATATATTTTTGAATAAAATCTGGTCGAATAATTATTCACTACTAGAGTTTTCTTCATATAATTGATTCTATTATTTAAATCTTGTGACTTCCTGTTTTAAATATTTGAATTAACGGGTGATTGGTGACTAGCAGTAGAATCCAGGACAACCCGCATTTCGTCTTATTTGGGACTCTTCCACCAGCTGGGAGAACGATATTCCGCAGTAAGTGCTGGTGTTCCTACCAAGGCTCTAACCCACTGCACATAGTCTCAAATGCCGAAGCGTTATCCACTAAACTATTTGAGCCATAAGAGCCACCTCCTTTGCGGCGGGTCATATTACTGGATTCCACTGTAAGTCACTATCCACCAGTCGACCTCAAGTCACATGCCCAGACATCGTCGAAGCATCTGCACAAGGAGCCTCCATGTCAACCTGAGATCGAGCACTTCGGTTCAACCAATCGACGGGAAAATTTACATTGAATTAAATTTGAATTTACATCTGAATATTTGTACAAGATGTAATAAGTCATTGACAGCTGAACCATTCTTTCAGTAGGATTTATGCTGTTGATCACTCAACAGGAATTCCACTGTTACTTATTTTAAACTCTGATAGATTTACATATTCTTCGAGGTGAAGCTAATTTATTTTCGCCTGGGAATACACGGCGTGTTTAGTAGTCACCATTTTCAGAAGTCTTGACAGTATTTACATGTATGTGTATTAGGTGGTTGGAGGCAACTGGTATGCATCACTGAACCTAGATTTCATGCTTATTTTTACTCCTTAGCAAGGTATTCTTGCAACCTCAAACGAAATGATGTCCATATCGATATTTGGACTAGAGTCAACCAGTGCTACAATCTGAGACGCTACCACTGGGTTATATATAGATATGGTAAACGGTTCGCGCTCATTTAATTGAAGAACTACGCATCAACATATAATATTGCTTAGGCTGGCAGCGAACTATCTGTATCATTTTCATCTACTCTGAAAAAGATATCGAAGATGTCATTTAGAAATTATTTTAACACTACATAATACTATAGGCATATGTAAACCTTATTTAATAGCTATTTGATGATGGCGCATGTCAAGTAGCTAACAAAATAAAGCTTAAAAAAGGAAAGAAAAGGTTGAAATACGGCTGCTTACTATCAAAGATGATAATCCTAACTGTGGTGAAAGACTGTTGGATGTGGGAAAAAGAGCCTACGCTGGAAAAACAAGAATACCTCAGAAGATCTGGATTTCACTAATTATTACTATCTCATGTCTGACAAGCAAAAACTAACAAGATGTAAGAAGAGGCAATGAAGACAGGACTTCTAGTGAACATAAAGTAGACTGGGTTGATGAAGATACCTGACCAATGGCAGCAAACACTAATCACCTTCAATAAGAGAAATATAAAGGAAGTTATCCGTTTCCTTTGCCTGTCCGGGCAGCATCGTTTCTACTTAGAGGCAGCAGAGATGAGGATGTCACAGCCAGCCGAGGTCAGGGAAGCAAGACAGAGGTTCATTATTCTGAAATCAGCTGGGAGATCAACAGCATTTGATACAGCAAACAAGATTCATAATATTATCACTAATATCAGGCCACCCGGTTTATGTGGTTCGGAGAATTAGCAAGCCTGTCACCAAAACCATTTCCATCAGGCAGCTCTCTTCACTCTATAGTGAAGGCCTGAATCACCTGCCTGAAAAAATAACGAACAAATAACTCTGATAGGAAGTAAACCAGAAAAGGATCTATTCCCGACCAAATATTCACAAGAGCATGGAGATGGACTGGATATACACTGCAGAGACATTCCAATGACATCCTATTCCAGGTTGTTGAGTGGGAATTGAGTGGGAAGTGGAGAGTTAAGCGTTCTGATGTGACACGGGTGTCATGTTAAGCGGCAACTAAAGCTTTCAGGTAGTTGCGGAGCAAGCTGAAGTGATATTAGAGATTCGTGTGGAGTGCAGGCATGTTGCTGAAAACCTGTGTTTCACTCGGAACCCGAGAAACGAATAATAAATAATAATTATAATAATAGTTGACACCCTAATGTTTCTGTCTTTTTTCAGTTCTAAACATCGCACACAAATTATTCCAACGTCATTAATTACTTGTGAAGTATTCGCCTTTTCACTACAAACAAAAGATTTTTATACTTAAACTTCAAGCGTAAATATTTTAATTAGATTAGACTTCTTTGATGGATTTTAAACTGTTAGGATTGACAAGTTTCCTTGTTAGTGTTGCCTACACTTAGTTTCGTCTAATTTTGCATAAAACATTAAAATGATTGTTTTAATGAGTTATCGTGCACTGACGTCAGCCTTTTGCTTTTCCCTCTGTTTGGATTTCCGAATTCCTATTGGCTGTTAATGCTTTTAATGCATTACTGAATTATTGCACTCTCAAGGTCACTCCAAATGTATATATACAGAGTTTCTGTTTATCATTTTGACTGTTGTTTGAGACAGTAAATTCTCCCTTATCGAAGTCCAGTCTTTTCTTCTGTCTTTGCGTGCCGGCACTGACACGGTAACCTGTTTGGACAGTCTCGACCCGTTTATTTATGGCTGAATTTACTGAAATCAGAAGACTAATCAGATTTGTTTATTCATTCGCGGCTTAAATTTCTGATATTTCGTAAATATAAGATATCACGCATTTTGTCTGATAAAAGCATTTTGCGGTTGTTAATGTTGTTGCCGTTCTGGTAGTCAATTTTTTCAGTCTAACTTTTGTGTTTATCACAATATGAAAGATATTTTCAATCCGTCAATTGGTTATAGCGTCGTCTGCTTGAGGTGCATTCTTGTCTACAGCTACTTTTTGTCAAAACATAAATAGTTTATCATCTTTGAAGTCGACATTTTCAGCCAAGTTCTACACATCTTGAAGCTGTCTGTCAGTAGATCTTCCATCACTTTGACTTGAAATTTGAATACCTGGGGGTATTCCATATAATCATGTGAACATTCATACAAAAATATGGTATTCCTAGGAATTTCGGCTATTGTGCACAAAAGACTTCTATTTCAGCAACCTGTTGGAGAAGAGTTTCTACAACACACGATATTTTGCAACGCTTTAACGTTATACTTTTAATGTTTGTGACTAACACCGGAAGGGGGGGGGCGAGGATGAAGCTGCTGTTATGGTCTTTACATACTTCAAGAGTTCAACTTACACGATTGAATCTCCAGTGAACAGTAAGCGAACTGTGATTCTGAAGTTACGTAGCTTAAATACCTCAGAGATTTGAGTTTTATTCCGCAAATGTTATGCGAGGAATGACTTGTTTAAACTTAAGATTTATTTAGTTCAACAACACATTCAGAACTCCCACAAAATTATTAAATGACTCTTGACTTGAAAGTTATCCATATTTTCATGTACGCGGATGACACCCAGGGCAGCTGTTAGAGATGAGAAGTTTTTAAGTGAAAAGAGATAGATATAGAGAAATCACTAGCTACTTTGAAGTTCACTTGTGATATCTTGACCAAAATGATCATTTCTGCATATGAATGCCTTCAACAGATGGATGCCTCAGAGTCACCATCACTGCCAGCAAGGCTTCGTTTTTGTGGCGATGGCAAGCAGAAGAGTATCCAGAATGCTCCTAAAAGATAATGCTTTGTGATTTAAATGACAAATACATGGTTCAAATACTGCTGGAGTACAGTTAAATTCATCTGATGAGTCTTACATTGGACGAAAAGTGCATGTTCTGCATTCTACTGTTAATCGACACCAAGCAGCTAAGTTTAAATGAAAACTTTATAGTTTAATATTCTTTCTTACACCATTATTACAGGAGAGGGAGACAGAGACTGTTTGTGTCCAAGAAACGCGAAATATTCTACGTTAAATTCCATGATTTTTAATATTTCGCAGTTCAACTTCTTTTTTCTTCCAGTTGACATCACCAGGGAACTTTGCACAGACATAGACCCCAGTAGTTTGTTCTGACAAACTTTTTAACTTCACTGTGTTCTCCAGTTGGAGATATCTGGGAGAGCTCTGTGATGAACACTAATAACTTTTTGAAAACGAACTATAGACAGTGAACAGGAATCAGATTTCTGTATGAAATATACATAGTGTAATAGTGTCATATATAAATCTGCATAACACTTAATGAAACGATTCATTCTACACCAGATGACTAATTTTATCCAGTGGTTTCCTGCTTGCACGAACATGAATTACTTTAAATGTCACGAAAGAATAATGGACGTCTAAATAACACTGACTTAACGAGAATGTAGCACTGCATTAGTGTTACTATTATCGGTGTTATTATTCTCTTTGGTTCCTAGTGGAGCATATGGTCTCATCAACAGCAAAACGAACAGACAATTAATCACCATAAATGGGAGAAGTCTGAAAGAAGCAACCTCTTTTACCTACCTACTTACCTACCTAAGAAGCATCGTTTAAACTACAGGTGGACGGGACTGATGAGGATATCAAAGCGAGGATCGGGAAAGCAAAGCAGGCTTTCATTACTCTCAAGTCTGTGTGGTGATCCACACCACTCAGAATGAAAAATAAGATCCTAATTTTCAACTCCAATGGGAAGTCAGTGCTACTTACTATACGAATCGGAGACTTGGTTTCGTGTCACGAAAAACACTTAGAACAAAATACCGACCTTCATCAATAGCTGTCTTCGCGCAATACTACTCAAAATCAGACAGCCAACCCGAAAAGATCAGAAACATGGAGGGATCTCTGGGAACGAAGAAAACGATCCAGAAGGAACCAATAATTAACAAATATGCAAGAAGAAATGGAGGTGGATTGGATTTTCCATACTCTAAGGAAACAAACCACCATCAAGTGACATCCATCACACGCCAGTCCATCGATCGAGTGGAACCCGAATGGGAAGCGGTGAGTTAGTTGGTCGTCAGTGTGAGGTTAACACGGAGGAGGAGGTCATACGAAGAGGAGATGAAAGTATGTAGGCAGACATGAAGCCAAGTGAAAAGGTTGGCAGAGAACCGAACGCAATGGAGACGTATGGCTCAAGCCCTATGTTCCTCTAGAAACTAAAGTAGAAAATTATAAATAATAATACATGTGATTTCAGAGACACGTCTCCATTTCACTCTGTCTTCTGAAGTCTTTGTTAAAGTCACTCCACGATTGTTCATAAGCTTTCATTTTCTACTCACATGATCTCCTCCATGTCACACTCGGACGTCAAACTCGTCGCTTCTCATTCGGGTTCCAATTCCGCAGAATCAATTCAACCACTATGGAACATTTAAAGCCCAGAAAACATTATTAAGTGAATAGTAAACTTACAACACATCAGTGAATGGTGGGGTCCAGAAAGTCTTTGCCTCGAATCAGATTCTAGGTCCAAAGCATCTCTGAAATTGATGTCTGGTGATTCCTGATCCCTGAGAATTCATTAGCTAGAATCGGTTTGTGACTGAACCCATCTTCGAATTCCTACTAACCCAACATCATAACGGTGAAATGTTTTTCTCAAAATAGTTTTATATTTTATATTCCATCATTAAAAAGGTTGTCAACGCACAATCATGTACAGTTCTACCTAGCTCTTAACATTCCTGTAGCGGATAACCAACTGACAACCGGATATCTTCTACATAGTAGCGATCAGACCACTGCATCTTCCAGTGATCTTACTAAAGACATTCATATCAATAAAGTTGACCAAACAAGCACTGCCGAATTCATGTTAGTCATCGGAAATAGTTGAGTTTTTTAATATTTTTATTCCTTTATGTTCTCAGTGGAACATAGGGCGCCTTCGAACTAAAGTCTTGAAGTTTCCGTAACAGTGATATCCATTTGTACGGGATCGGCTTGCTAGCCGCCTCATCACCAACCTTCCCTCTTTATCAATCTTATTACTGGCTTAAAGAGGTAAAGTAGGGGTGCATCGGCCGAGGATCGAACCCCGAACCACCTGCGCGGTTAGCGAGCATTCTACCTCTGTGCTTCCGACGTACAAATATATTTGAATGCTGAATAATCACTACTGATATTCACCTGAAGAACTTCTCGAAGTTGGCAGTTTAATAGCGGACATTTAACAAATCTTATCTATTAACCAATTGACTGTCTAACTGTAGTCTGCTAATGTGTTCGTTAAAGTGTGATCAATTGAGAAAATAAACAATTCCAAGTAATATTTTAATAAATATTAAGTAAGAGTACAAAATTGTGTTTTCCATTATGGCACCATATTAAATTATGCACAATCAACAATCTTGTACTTGTATATAAAAGTAAATAAATAAGGCATGTGTAAAAATGTTTGCATAAAGCGAACAAATATAGCAGTTAACATAGAAATCGCTCTCTCTCTCACTCTCTTTTTCTCTCTATCTCTACTCAAAGGCATGGAGAAGAGAGATACGCTTTATTTGTGTTCTTAACTTTCTTTTGGGCCTTCAATCACTTTAATGTAAAATTACTATATTTATTTGCATTCAGAAAGGACTTTAGTAGATGGAGCCAAACTAAAATAGAAAAAAAAACAATATCAGGAGTTAGAAGATGTGACTTATGAATGATAAAGTTACGTATAAACTAGGTTTACGATAGTCTTCCAACTCGCCTTGTAACCAGAAGGTCGTGGGTTCGAACCTCAGCAGGGTGAATGCGTACTGCTGAACAGTCCCAAATGAGCTGGGACAAAATAGTTGTCCAGTACTCCCTGCAGGTTTCCCAATAGTTCTCTAACCGACGTCAGCTCATGATGAAATCCTCCAACCAATCAAAAAATAATCCCTACAAGACCAATACTTGGAGATTACAAAATAGTTTCTCAGTTAAACTTGAAACCAATCAAATCCCAAAAAATAATACTCGAAAACTGATCCAATGCTAACTAACTAATGACTAAGCACAGGACGAGGTTTCCTAAAGTTCCAGCGAGAAATTCAGGGTCTACAAGGTCTGGTGAGAGGAGAAATACCCATCGGTGACACTAAATGGAGGTGACGCTGGTGACCTTTTGTATTCCCTCCTATTGGCTGAGAGGTCAATGATGAGATCGCCTTGTAACCTGACGGTCCCAGGTTTGATACCGAGCAGGGTTATGTGGGAGCATTGCTGAAGAGTCCCGAACTAGGATGAAACACTTGACGCTTCTCTAAATGATATCAACCAGTGACCGAAATTGATTTGTCACAACTCAACTGAATAACTGAGGGAATTGGTTTACCAAAGGTGCACTAATAACTTGGAGAGATAAGATTTAGACGTGGAGAAAGAAAGTTGTAAATCATCGATTCTTCGAAGATGTAGACAACGAGAACTAGATTATTCTAACACGCTAATTGGTAACATTTATGTGATAAGATTCCTAAATTTGTTAGTCTTGACTGTTGATCAATCGAAAAGTTGGAGACAATTGAACTGTGTTCTTCACTAATCATCGCTCGTATTCTAACTGATTCCACTATATCAGCAAAAGAAGCTTGTTATTTGATTGGTTGGAGGGTTTCATCATGAGCTGACAGCAGTTAGAGAACCATAGGAAAACCTACAGGGAGTACTGAACAGCTGTTTCGGCCCAGTTCATTTACGACCCTTCAGTGGTACGCATCCAACGACGGGGTTCGAACGCAGGACCATCTGGTTACAAGGCGAGCTCATGACATAGCGCGACCTTCTGGCAATGGCTTGGCAGAAATTAAAATCCATATGCCATCGGATCGGGTTCCAATGGCTTCACAGCCTGCGACCTAGCTCGCCTTGTAACCAAAAGGTCCAGGGCTCGAACCCTGAAGGTGGGTGTGTACTGAGGAATAGTCTCAAACTCGGACGAAGCAGCTGTTGTTCAGTACTTCCAGGTTTTTCAATGGTTCTCTAACTGATGTCAGTTCATTATGAAATCCTTCACCAATTAATCAAACAAAATCCTTGCAAAAACTAAAACTTGAAAAGCTGCTTATTTATTTATCATGGTGGTATTTTTCGTAACCCAGTGATCAAAATAACCTTGTTAATGACTATAAGTATGCAGTCTGTAGGAAAGCAGTCTTAGTATTCCTGTATTTTTTGTCTGATATATTCCCAGCTAATATGGCATTTCCTGCAGTAATACTAGAGTTAGTAAGGTTGAAATTAATGACACCTTAAAGCTTGCGAAACCAAGTGCAATTGAAAAAGATCTATTCTTGACCTAGTCACTCAAAACGTCAGTCAGGAATGCAAATATTTCACTACCAACATCCTCAGCTTCAGCACTTGTTGGTGCGTCTGCATATCCCAATGAGGACAACAATTCTTTTGTAGTTGCAGAAACACACTGCTTATGAGTGCTAATAAGCACTGAATCTACGGGTAGCGCTTACTGTTGCTAACCTTCAGCTAATTAACCCAGTAGTACCAGCCTTTTGCATATGTGCAGAATTCTTTCAACAATGTGCATGATAACTAATAAGACGTAAAATTTAAACGGTAATGCTTAGTAAAACAAGCAGTTAGAATATGACGATGATTAAAAAATACTGAAAACTTTTAAAATCCAAAGTGATTAAGGTAATTTTCCCAACCGTTTATGTTTTAATACCTAATCTAAAAATAACATGAATCCAATAATGGTCGCGATCTTCACTCGGGTAAAAATGGCCCTTCTATGACTTTCTTGTAGAAAGGAAAGCGTTTCTGATCTTTCATATTTCTTAAGCTGAAGCAAGCGTGACATCACCAATGACCTCAACGCTTATATTTCACATCAAACACTAATTTATCAAACATTTTACGCTAATTAAGCCACCCCTGATAGCATGAAATTCAGTAGCAATGTTTTTCGATAGTGGAAGTGAACGACGACCTAACTTAGCAAAGAAGTGCCACAGTTCGAGTTCCCACATTCCATGTAGCATACTAAGGCAGACAGAAAAGAGAAAGGGGATCCAAAAGTAGTACACCAAGCAGAAATAATAACATGGAATAACGCTAGGAGCGGATTGCATCTGCGCGACTGAGAAAGTTTTTCACCCCATACCTCAGATATTAGACAGAAAGAAAAGAAGATCACCGTATTTTATTTTTTTTTTTATTTCGGTGATTTCACTCTCAAAAGCTGTACAATCGCGTCTACAAGAAACGTTTGCACAGCTAAAATTATTATTTAATTAGAGGCATCTCCACTGGTCCGCAGCCATCGGTTGTTAGCATCTCAAGGACCACAATAAGGCTGCCTGCACCTCCCTACAAGGCTCTAATTAACTGTCAAAGGTTTCATAGACAGATATCAGATTTTGGTGTGAGTACCCCTAACTCTTTTCCGGCCAACATTGCTTGTCTAGAAAGGTGATGGGTCAGCATGAGCAGCCCATGTCTTAGTCATCTCAATAGAATCCCTTTCATAACCTCATCGACTGACTTACTCTCCTCAATATAGTCCACAATATTATGCCACTTAATCCGGTAGACAGGGTAAAAATATCTTTGAGCAATTCTAGCCATCCTTTTCATATCTTTTACTGTTCATGGCCTTGCCTCACAGCCACATAGGAGGCCAGAAATAACTGCTTGAGATGAGGCCACTGAACCAATTTCAAGCTAGCAAGGAAAATAAGCATATTTTACAATGATCGAAGAACATTTAAAGTCGTTCCTGTATAAGTACATTATGCAATCTAGTGAGTTGCTATTGTTGATTATCTAACGTTGATACTGACAATGAAGTTCTTATTCAGGAAGAGAAAAGATGTAGATCATACCTGCCTGTTTCATATACAAGCTAAATGTATGTATGGATAGCTACAAGTTCACAGAAATTTGGTGAAACTTTTTAATGAAAACGTTGAAACAAACGCAATGCACGAAAACTATTGAAATTCCGAAATTAATATTTCTGTTTCATTTCCTTCCTAAATTTACAAATTCTCACGTACTTATTCCGTTTAATGTTTTTTCTGAATTTAAGACAATTGCGTGCGATTAAGTGTTTTCAGGAAACCTGTGTTTCACACTCTAAGCTTCCTTTCTAATCTTATGAAGTTTACTGAAAGTCGAAATTATTTCCTTGATGATACTTTTAGAATTATTTAATTCTTGTTATCAAACGGAATGTGAAATTATCAGGCATCTGTAAAGCTGAAAAATGATAAAAGCCAAGAAACAATCTCTCGGATGCACGTAGTCTGTAATAATCAGTTGAATTTCTTGAAAAGGTAGGTGATTTCGGTGCTCTTTTATTCCTTGAACTAGATGGTTTAATTACCATTCTTAACAACACCTTTCGTACTAAATTCGATGAGAATCGAAATTTGTGAATTATTCATAGATGAAATATCTGTCTTTATGAGTTAGTCAGATTGTGACTAGTTGTCCCCTTAGATTTCTCTGTGTGGTTGAATCCGCTTTTACTGATAATGGTCCTCTAGCTGATTTGACATTTGACGATTTAACTGTGACATATAAACATTCTACTTGGCTTTCTGCTATCTCTTTCAGCAAGTTCCATGTGTGCCCCTCTATATCACCCTCCAATCTGTCGGCAAGTCTTCTGATTCCAAGTTGACCCGGGTATCAGGCTCCCAGGAATTCTATGAAGGCTTTGCATTTTCCCTATGTAAAGATGCATTCATTATCCTATGTGAATTGACCTACTTAGTTGTCCATGTAACTTGATATAAACGGATGTATGTCATGTCTTCTGACTGTTTGTTAGTTTGTGATCGTGGATACGAGGATAGAGACGAAGTCCATTTTGGCCTATTTTATAGATAGTATACTGTTGTAGATGTGTCGGTGGCATAGCGGCTAGGACGCTCGCCAACCATACACATGGTCCGGGGTTCGATCCCCGGTCGACACACTCCTTTACCTCACTAAGCCAGAAATGATGCTGGTGAAGAGGAAAGGTTGGGTATGAGGCTAGCAAACCCATACTGTAAAATAAACACTGCTACAGAAACTTCAAGCCTCTAGCTTACAGCCCTATATTCCACTGGGGAACGTGAAGGAAATAAAAAATACTTTTGTAGATAAAGTCTGTCAGCCGGTAGTAGGCCATATGATTAAAGTGTCAAATATATTGGCTTTTCAGGATTAACTCTAATATGCATAACTTTACAAATGAATATTAAAATATAAACCGACCATTGTAATTTATCAGTAGGATGATAAGATTGTGCATATAAATTGTGTAGTTTGTTATAGTTAAAATTCGACAGGATAATAAACTACATTTTCTGAATGTCTTTGCTAAGTAGGCGAGAAGACGGATCACTTGAGAGAAGTGTGTATAGAAAAGGCATATTCACAAGATAATGAATGCACTCAGCTCCTTAGTTGTGTGCCCATTCCATATCTATGGATGATCACTTACAAAGGGAAATTGAAAAAATTCATGATTCCTTGACGAAGATCGATTATTTGAGTGGTTTTATAACGAAACATATGAAAAACATTGGATAGAAAACCTGAGATAACGATAGTACAGATGAAACCGTTATCCATCAGGTTACAGTTTCATGAGGACCTGTCAAGTGAGGTTTCATTTCAGAGAGTGGCTAAAAGTACACGTCATTTTCTGGTCGATGAACAATGGAGACTCAAATGAAGGATGAGCTAGGCAGTTCTGCCACATTAACTGCTCCTGTAGAGACAGTTGTGTTGGATATACTACTAGACAGTTTAGACAATGTGTTACAGAAAACCTCCCATTGTAATTTGGTAAAGAATCAGACAAAAACAACCTGAGGCTCCACTTTGTCGCCTTTAGTTGATACTAGTAATTCGGTGGTACAAAAGTACAGCATTCATGTTGATTCATTGCATCTCGGAGAATCTTCCCAATGGATTCCGCACTTACCTACTGAATATTTCTAAGGCGATAGATATTGGGACTATTAAGCCTAAACTATATGCATTCAGAAGAATTTCGTTCATCCCTTTCTTGATCAATGAAGACCTAACCAGCTGGTGATATCACCGCCACTTCCAGTACCCCTTACTTACACTTTCAATCCCTTCTTTATCATCATTTATTGTTATCACATCTTCATTAAAACATCGTTGTTTACTCTTGTTACAATCAAGAATTGCAGAATTGGCCTTTGTCGATAACTTCCTGCCTATTTTTCTCTATTGTTCCCCCTTAGTTTTTCCCGAGCTACTGAAGAAAGACTGTAACATATTACGCAGGATGTTAAATGTTGTCAGCAGGGTAAGCAACGTGCCACTTAACCAGCTTGTTAATATTCTGGTCGACAGGCACATGGACTCATGTGAAAAATGGGCTAAATCCATTTTATCTAACTCACACCACCTTCTTCACTCACAACTCTCCCCTTGTATCTCATTAGGCAGGACCAGAAGCCTATATAGAAAACTATATACTCGCACCAGCAAGTACAAAAACTCAACCATACCCTACTTAGCTCGTGTTCTGTCTGATAAAGAAAGCATTAGGCGTGACACCTATAATTCGTTAAATAGTCAGTAGTACAACTGGATCTCGTCTTTCCCACTCATATCATCAATAAGTACAACACTTTCTTTCTTTCTTTCCTTTTCTCTCTCTTCTTTTTACGTTATGTGCTGCTTTGTCTCTTTCTCTCGCTTACGCCAGTTAATAAGACAGCTCCCACTTTTCTAACACCTTCAAACACTGTCTCAGCTTTACCTTTGCTACTGACATGCCAATGTATTGTTGTAATAATGACTGTGGTTTCCTCAATCTATGTAGAATTCTATTTATTGATAATGTACTAACTGGATGCAATACTGTAGTAAAAATGCTGAGAATTCCATTCTGTATCACAAGTACTGTTTTGGAATAAAGCAAATTATTATTATTCTACATGAATATTTGTTTATATAATGATGCCATTTTTCATCATTCTTGTCAAATCCAAAAGTTTGTTATCAACAGAATCAGTATTGCTGGTATTAATTATGACTAAGTGCACAATTTGTATACACAATTGTATCATACTACTGATAAATTATCCCGAATGATTAATATCTTGTCAAGCTGCTAATATAATTAAATAATTCCCTTTGTAGCATTTAAATGACAATATTCAACGAAGAGACTCTTTTCAACGAATTTATTATCAAGCTGTACAATCGTATATATATGGTTTTTAAGAAATTATATCCTGTGAAGGAACTGAATCTTAAGTGTGAATGCATAAAATAATAACAATAGTAGTATGAAATGCAATTAAAATGTTTGTGATTGTAATCATAGTTAAGTGTCAGGTGGTAAAACAATTAATGTCATATATAGAATAATTCATAAAATGTATAGATGCTGGAAACTGGTGTATAATTACAGGATTAGTAGGCTAATATAAAATGTTACATAACAATGTGTGAAATTTGATAAGATAGAATTCAATATTGTAAAAAAGGTTTTTGGATTTAGAAGGACAACTGGAACAAGCAAAAACAATTCAGAGTGAGAACAATAATATTAATAACCGTAGTAATGGGGGAAAGGTACATAGATTAACTAAATTGTCACTCTGCCAACCCTGACCATGGTTTAAAGATCATCTACCGAAACCCTTATTCTGCCTTATCCGTAGAGGGATAGGCATTTATTTATTTATTTAGTTGATCTATGTACCTTTCTTTCATTACTACGATTATTATTATTCTCACTCTAAAAATGTTTCCTCTTGTCTCACTAGTCATTCTAAATCCAAAAAATGTTTTTGCAATCTTGAATTCTATCTTATCGAATTTCACACCATGTTGTGTAACATTTTATATTTGTTGGAGGATTTCATCATGATCTGACGTCAGTTAGAGAACCAATCGAAAACCTGGGATTACTGGACAGCTGCTTCGTCCTAGTTCTCAGGACTCTTCATCACCCGCCAAGGCTAGAACCCAGGACCTCCTGGTTGCAAGGCGAGCTCTAATGCTCACTACCGACTGACCCTATTCAGGCAGTTACCTGGGGATATAATGAGAAATCGTGACCAGTAGGGTACAACAAGTTTAAGGTGAGGCAGTAACTCATCGAAGAAAACATTGCGAAGTGGTCACGCTATGTCATGAATTAACTGGGAGAGGTTAGAATTCATTTGCTGGTTATTGGATCGGGTCCCGGTGACTTAATGGTCTACGACCTACGTCGCCTTGTAACTAGAAGGTCGTGGGTTCGAACCCTGGCGGTGAGTGCGTACTGCCAAAGAGTTTCAAATTAGGCTGATGACGCAGCTGGCTGTTCAGTACTGCCTGCAGGTTTTTCAATGGTTGTCTAAATGATGACAGCTCATGATGAAATTCTCCAATCAATCAAACAAAATCCCTACAAAAACCAATACTTGAAAAGCATTTTATATCTGCGTACTAACGGTATAATTTTAAAGCCCCTTTCCAATATCTATACATCTTATGGATTATTCTATATATGACGTCAATTGCATTACCACCTGACACGTAACTATGATTATAATCGCAAACATTTTAATTGCATTTCATACTTTAATTATTTTATGCATTCACACCTTTGACCTAATTCCCTAACTGGATAAAATTTCCTAAAAACGCCAAATATGCATACGATTGTACAGCTTGATAATAAATTCTTTGAAAAGAGTCTCTTCGCTGAATATTGTGTTTTTGGCCTGTTAATACTGATTTAGATGTTCAGATAAACAAGGAAACTATCTATGTACTTTTTTAATTATAGAACAACTAACCAAATTAGGGTTAGTGAATACTTGCTTCTTGATTGTCATTCTGTTGATTTGGACGAATTATGATAACTTTAGTAGCCACTTTGCTTTTCCCCTTAGAAGTTAATGGTGCCTGTGAGCCTATTGCTTCTGCATACGTTGGTGGATAGGGATAATAAATAGGTTTATTAGACTGGTGAAGATTACCACATACACTTTGATTTGGTAAAGATTTTGGAATAGTATTGACTTTTACATGTAGGCAATCATCAACCAATTCTTTGTCTTGGATATACTCCACGGCTCTCATGATATCCTTTATATCTGTAAGTATACAATTATGAAAGCCATCTGAAATTGAAACAAAACAAAACAAAAAACAGAGAAGGGAACAATAATGTGATACAAAGATAAATTAGTGCGTCGATGACACAGAGGTAGAGTGCTCGCCAACCACGGAATTGGTCCGGGGTTCGATCCCCATCCACCGACACACTCCTGCTTTACCTCACTAAGGCCAGTGATAAGAATGGTGAAGAGGGAAGGTTGGACATGAAGCTAGAAACTCCATCCCGTAAAAACAATCATCACTGTTACAGAAACTTCAAGCCTTTAGCTTGAAGACGCCTTATGTTCCAGCATTGGGAACGTGACGGAATAAATAAATTAATTTAAATTTTATTACTATAGCTTGACTCCACACAGTATTTTTGATACAAGTATGGAATTTTCAGTATATCAGTAGCCCAAATTTAGCAGGCCGACCAACCATGGATATCAGGTATGCGTTGGCTGGAGATTGAACCTCGGACCATGTGAATGGTCCGCGAGAGTCCCAACCGCTTTGCCTCCAACGAAAAGGCGTTTTCTGTATTTACTGAAATGATCTGAGTAAATATTATTTATACACCACTGCACTTCTGTGTGTGAGTGAAAAGATTGTGACTGTTCGCACTTCGAGGACACTTACTACCAGTTATAATGGGGCATAGAAACTACTTGTACAGATACTTCAATGTTTTCCTTGTAATTGTCTACTTAACGGTGATTCTGAGGCGTATTCGAATCGTGATGTACCACAGATAGGAAAAAAACAAAGGTCTCGAGTTTTACAACTTTCTTAACCTAGCAAATACAATTATTTCTCGTTGAATACGCCTAGAATGTCACCTGAAGAAAGAGAATCCATCCACTAATGTGATTCTTTCCATACCGTTTGGATATGCAGCCTGATTAAGTCTTGATTTCTCTTCATAATCTACAGAGGCTGGAACAGACTCACCATCCTAAACTGAAGACCCTAAGTTCAATCCCAACCAGACTGCAGAGTTCAAAACAAGGATGAACCAGATATTCAGTTTTATGTGCCTTCCAACACTCTTCTACCTAGTGTCGGCTCTGGATGAAATATATCGTTAAATTTGGTTAGATTCCCAAATATTCAACACTTTGGCATAAATACATATGATTAAATCTCTGAATATACTTCGATAAACACCAGGGGTTAAAGTTAAGCATTCCATATTACAAATTTGAATACAGAAAGGACAAAGACTGATGCAGGATAATATAAATCCATTTCACCCAGTTGGCACTCATCAGCTGCATACAAATTATGGTATTTAATGAAAGCAACCATACTTCAATTTTAACGTACGTTTTGTTTATCATCATGAATCAGTCCAACAATAAGGAATGTTGTGAGAAAGTTTCAGTGAATCAAATAACAAGGATGATAAGGTTATTAGTACATATATCTTATAAGAGCAAGATTTCTCGTAAAAAATTTACAGTTTTCTTGTTAGAAAGATGATAAATCAATGACTACTGTGGAACCAGATTAAAAGGAACTCATAAGATAGGTATAATCAACATCTGGTGTGTACGAAGTTGAATAAGAAAATAATTACGTAATACGGTGAGTATAATTCAAAGAATCTACACGACCGATAGTGATTGCTCAATTGAAAGATGAAGTACCTAAACTAGCCACTTCTAAATGTATCTACCAATTCAACTACGCTTCTGATGGAGCGAGTTATACTGACCTTCGCTCTATGGAAAATCCAATAGTGTGGCTAAGTAAAGGTATGTTAAATACCATCAACAGTTCGAAATTAGACCACCTGGTACAAACCTGTCATGAAGTTAAAAACTGAAGAATCCTTCTCTGTCATCTACCGAGTACCAAATAAATTGTAGTAAACATCCAGGTACCGCATAGTCCAAACAGCAGAGGCTGTCGTGGTTCGCGTCAAACAACCGGTGTTCTACATACAGAAGAAGCAAGTCCAGCCACTACTACTGCCTTGGCCAGCCCTAAGTAGAGACTAAAAATTCATGAATTTGTATCATTATCTTTCCTAATTTTTCTAATATTCAGCTTATTTTATGTTGATGTTATTCAACTGTAATCTAGTGGTATTATTGATTCGATGCTATTTAAACAACATTACACTAAATCATTCACTTTAATGTATATAGATAACTATAGGACATGATGAAGAAGGCGTTATCGAAATGAATATTCTTTGTTCAGTAATCATCCCTGTGCAAATATCAAAAATAAAGTCTAATATGAAAGTCAAGCAAAAAATGGTTGGGGCTGAATTAAAATGATTACATCAGTAGACAAAGAGTTATTAGGGAGAGAGTTTCTGAGGTAGTGGAGTTTCCACGACAGATTCCTTTCAGACACATAGGTTGTGTTGCAGTTGTTTTTATTTCGATAACTTCAACAAACCAAAGAAGACAAGGGGTATTTTGTGTGTTAATTATTTTTAATGCTTCCAACGCATCCACTCGGTGACTTGAGTCTATCAGGTGTTTGGTAGCTGACAAGCTCAAACTATTCAGTCCCTTTAGTCGGAAGCTCTTTGGTTCTGCCGAAGTAGTCATTACCTGAGCTATTCATGAATGGATATATATAATTGGAGAATAATATGTGATTCGACTTCACATACACCAAATTTCGATTTTTCATTCTCATGTGTTTCAATCGTTGTATTTTATTATCTCGGATCACGCAATTTCAACCGAATTATCACCATGGTAACAACAAACTGTTAATTTTTTAAGGAGAAATTTGCTGTAGCAATATTTATGCATTTTTTGAACCAATAAACATATCATTCTTATGTTTTGATTCACTGTGGCTCTCTCGCAACAGTTATTACTGTTAAAGTGATTCATGATGATGAAGGAAATGTTTGTTAACTCTGTAGTACAACCACTTTTGTTAAATAGTAAGTGTGTTGTATTCCGCTGATGTGAACCAATAGAATGAAATGAGGCCACATTATTCTGCATCCACAGTTCTTCTTCTTCTTTTTTTTCTTTTTTTCCTTCACGTTCCCCAGTGGAACATAGGGCTTCAAGCTAGTGGCTTGAAGTTTCTGTAGCAGTGTTTATTTTACAGCATTGGTTTGCTAGCCTCATAACCAACCTTTCCTCTTCACCAGCACTACTTCTGGCTTAGCGAGGTAAGAGAGTGCGTTGGCCGGGGATCGAATCCCGGACCATGTGCATGGTCGGCGAGCGTCCTAACCGCTATGCCACCGACGCACGTTTGTTCTAACTGTATTTAAAGACATAAGTATAAAACTTGGGCACTGTGGTAGAGCATAACTCCATTATGGATAAGGTTTTATTTTGATAAATCACACAGTGCTGTACAGTCATATTAACTGATGACGTTTCGAGCAAAAACTATTGCTCATAATCATAAAAGTGTATTTAAAGACTGTTATCCGTCAACAAAGGATACATAAGATATTCGATAAAAAAGAATCACTTAATATCCATATTTGTTTTCGTGCATCGACTTCATCAGTTAAAGAAGGGTCATTCAGGAAGCGGATATCGTGATGTGAAGAACTACTAAGTTAGCCAAATCTGATGACAGACTAGTAGACTCTAATAAATATATTACTATACATTTATATATTTCTTAAATATTACATTCCTTTAGGTTCCATTTGGAACGTAGAGCTTCAGAGTGAAGCTTTGAAGTTTCTGTAGATGTGGTGTTTATTTTTACGTGGTAGGGTCACTAGTCCCATGCCCAACTTTCTCTCTTTACCATATCTACTAACAGCTAAGCGTAATCTAGGAGGGCGTCGGTCGCGGACTGAGCACAGATCGCTTACGTGGTTGGCAAGCATTCTACGGTTGCACCACTGACGAACTATATTTGTAGATATATAAATATATAGGCAGTTCATATAACTTGAATACCACTCAGAAAAATAAAAATTTTTACATACAAACACCTTCAGAGAACATGTGAAATTTTAAGGCTTTTTTTCTAAAATGAAAATTGAATACCCTAGTGATTAAAAAACAAATTTTTATAAAACTGAATTAAACCAGATAAATAGAAGGTATCAACTGGTAACTGTAATATAAGAAAATCAATTTGCACACAATTCACTGAATTTGTTCTCAGTGATCAACATAAAACATTGACATTTGAACATTTACATATAAGAAGGTATAGCGGTTAGGCTTGCTCGCCGACCATGCACATGGTCCGGGGTTTGATTCTCGGCCACCGCACTCCTTTACCTCACTGAGACAATATTAAAAAGAAGGCTGGTAAAGATGAAAGGCTGTGCATGAGGCAAGCAAGCCCATCCTGTAAAAGTAAACACTGCTACAGAAACTTCAAGCCTCTAGTTTGAAGCCCTATGTTCCACTGGGAAAGTGAAGGACTTGATAATAATAATAATACAGACAAAAGTTAATGTAGTGACCAATTGTGAGTAAACAAAAAGATCTTAAGACGCTTTCAACGATTATGTAAAGTAAAAGACGTTCAGTTCTTGACCTAGTGGTTCTAAATCTGATACCTTTACTAATGTCCGGGGCTTAAGCAACAGTATCCTGCACAGAATGTTTACCCACAATATTCAGAATTTTCAGCAAAGTTTTCACACGATGTTTTATCATCATCCTGGATCTTTGAGTAAAAACAGTAATCTAAAACACCTCATGTGACACAGTGCTGTTTGATCAAGTGACTGGCCCTATTCAAACAGCCGTGATCAGTAGGGTACAACAGGTCAAAGATGGGGACAATTACTCATAGATGAAGACATTGAGAAGTGGTCGCATTATATTGTAATTTGGCAGAAGTTGGAATTCATGGGCTAGCCATTGAATCGGGTACCGGTAGTTTAATGATCTACTTACTCGCTTGCTTGTAACCAAAAGTTCCTGAATACGAAACCACTTGATGGGTGTGTACTGCTGACGGGCGAAACAGCTGTCCAGCCATAGTGAATGAAAACATTCACCTTAAATACACATATATATTTTCTAACGTTTGGTTTGTAAGGGTTGGTTATGTTTTAACGAGTTGATCATGGATTGATATCAGCTAGGGAGCCATTGAAAACCAGGGGGTACTGGACAGCCAGCTGTTTCATCCTAATTTGAGAATCATCGGCAGTACCCACCCACTGGGACTGGAACCCAGGACCTTTCGGTTACAAGGCAAGCTCGTATAACATTCAGCCACTGGGACCCAGTTCAATAACCGGTTCATGAGTTCTAAGTTCTACGAATTCGTGATTTAGCGCTACCTCACTGGTCACGAATTCTCACTAGAACTGACTCCAGGAAACTCCATCCTGTAGCAAGCAGTCACTAGCGAACATCAGATTAATTTTCTATAGTAAGGTTTGTAAGGGTTAGTTATGTTTTTACGAGTTGATCACGGATTGAAATCAGTTAGAGAACTATTGAAAACTGGTAGAAGTTAGAATTTATGAGCCATTGAATCGGGTCACAGTGGCTGAATAGTATACGAGCTTGCCATGTAGCCGAAAGGTCTTGGGTTCGAATCCCAGTGGGTGCGTACTGGCAATGATTCCTAAACTAGGATGAAACAGCAGCTCTTCAGTACTCCTTTTTTTTCAATGGTTCTCTAACTGATATCAATCCATGATCAACTCGTAAACATATATATATATATTTATGCATTTTATTATGAACAGATTAAAGCAAAACAAAATTACCCATCTTTAACTGACTTACCATTCCATGTAAGCGTAAAACCAGCAAATTGAAAATGTGTTATCTCATGCAACTTTTTCATCAATTTATTCCAATCCATACTTTTAAACAGAGACATTTGTAACCGATAAGCAAGTGGTACATCAATGTCTGGACGATGAATAAAAAATTTGATCGCTGACATTGAACTTATCCTCCTGTTATGCTTGCCACTAATGAATTACACATACACACACACACATAAAAATAAATAAATTGTGTGAATAATAAAGTTTTAAGAAAAAACAATGAAAAGATTTTTACATTTTAAAAAGGCTTGACTTTTTTGTCAACTTGATCAATGATGACCCAGAGATTGGTAGTTTCATTGGTCACAACTCTGATTGTCCTGTCTATAGTTCTATGTATCCTTGATTGACGACCTTGAGGGTGAATATATTATTATAATAATAATGATAATAATAAGGCTTACAGACGTATAACAATTTATGCAATAGATGGCAGTTCTAAGGCAAGAAAGAACCTATTTATATATATATATATATATATATATTGATTATGTAACTGTTTTTGTAGACAATTTATTACCAATTGAATAAATAATCAGGTGTGTGAGTCTTTGTGTGTGTATGTGTTGGTGTGCATGTACATATGCGTGGGTTTATGTGCTTAATGGTTACGTGTACATGTGTAAACACACTTTCTTATACTTTCGGTATGATTGATTGTTTGTCTATTTTGATTTGCTGTAGGATGTCAGACCTTATTTGACGCTAGCCTGCTTTGATGCCTTTTTCCTGTGATATTAGTGAATATATATATATATATATATATATATATATATATAGACTGTGAAATGGCGGAAGCTGGAACTCATGAGTGATTTGAATGGTCTAAAAGATGGCCTGGTCGTGGGTTCAAACACTGACGGGTGTGTACAGATGAACAGTCAGTCAAAAACTAGGACGAAAGAGTTATCCAGTACTCCTTCCTGCTTTTCCAATGGTTCACCAGCTGACGTTAACTGGTGGTCAAACTTGAGTAGTGATCTCTTGTCTAGAGTTCAGCCTCTTGTGATTGTTGGAATTATTTTGTGGTTACTGTTGATTGACTTTTATCGAACTGAAATTCTTTGTTACAGGATTTCATCATGAGCTGACATCGGTTAGAGAACCGTAGCGACTGGCCCTATTCATGTAGGTAGTTATCTGGGGTTCAAGTGGTAAGTCGTGACCAGTAGGGCGCAGCAGGTTGGGTGTGAAGACAAATACTCGCCAATGATGACATTGGCAACTGGTCGCACTATGTGATGAACTGGCAGAAGTTGGAATTTAGGTGTTGGCCACTGAACCAAGTCCTAGCGACTTAATAGTCTTTGAGCTAGCTCGCCTTGCAACCAAGAGGTTCTGGTGGTGAGTGCGTACTGCTGAATAGTCCCAAATTAGGCTGACGAAAAATTTGGCTGTCCAGTACTCCACTGCTGGTTTTCCAATGGTTCTCTAACTGATGTCAGCTCATGATGAAATCTTTCAACCAATCAATCAAATCCCTACAAATCAATAGTTGAAATTTTTTGTCTTTGATGTAGTTGTGTTCTCTGAGCAGGATGGTTTATTTTCGAATAATAACTATTCTCAGTCTTCGTTAACAATATAGACTCCCAGTAGTAGTGGAGCTTTGACGATGCCTTCAGATGATCTTAATACTGGAAATGCCTCAAATGTCCCTTGTCCTTGAAACCTACCCAATCTGGTGATCCAAATGGAGTGCCCAGTTTGATCTCCAGAAAAGGTAGCAAATATTGCTTATAATCATCCTCTTACTGATATTTTTCCCACAAATGTTGTGTCTACTTCTTTGAAGAATATTGAAACTCTCCTTGAGCCCAAATCATCAAGTGGATTAAGACCTATTTCTGTTACCTCACTTTTTTTAAATCAAAGAAAAAATACGTAAACTTAAACCTGAACCTTCATTGAAGGCGTTTAGCCATATTGAACAATCTGTTTGTAAGCATAATAGATGTACTTTAGATAACTCTTTTGTCTCACATTATATTACTGTCTCTAGTTTAGACAAAGGTCGTCATATATGTACGGTATGACTTCCTTGATCACATATCTGTCTTCGACTCTTTACCCGATAGGGTCTTTTGTTAAACATGCTTGCCGCAAAACAAGCAGTGTATTGGATTGATTATTTGTTGATAAGGTCAATTCCGATGAGTTTATCGATAAACTGAATGTTTCTGTGGCGGTTACTTCTCAGTCAGATTGTTCTGAAATGAATATCTATTCATTAGAGATCGGTCAGTGGTGCTTGTCTAATGGCCTTCAGATAAATTCCTTCTAACAGCAGACTGTCAATTTTAGACACAGACTTGATTTGCGTGAACTAGTTCATCCCTATGATTCTAATATCATAGATGGCAGTGAAGTTAGGGTTAAATAGAATGTGAAATACCCTTGACTGTCTATTCCCTCTGACCTTTCCTGGTTTTCCCACATTATGCTGACTTGTAGAAAGATATTTCGTGTAACCTTCTACATAGGGAAGTTAGGACAGTCTGATATCACTCAGTCTCCTTTCTTAGTTTGCTAATTCTTGTATTTCTACCTGTACTTCTTTACTGCTTCCCTTCAATTCTTCCTGGGCTAATTAAGAAAGACTTTGTTACCCTGAGAAGAGCACTAAAAGCTCACAGTGGGGCGAGTGCTGTATGGCTAAACCAATTTGTTAATACTGTTGTAAGTAGACATATGAACCCATTCAAGAAATTAGCAAATATCATCTTATCAGACCCTGAGCATTCTCCCTACAAACAACTCTTTCCTTACATACTACCAGGAAGGTAGGTCTAGGAGCAACTACAGAAGACTTAATGCTCGAATGACTAAGCATAAAGACTCTACAATCACTGGTTTGGTATACACTGTATCAGGTGAGAAAAGTTTGAGGCATGAAACTCGAAGCTCGGAGCAATGTAAGGAGAGAAATATTGTATTATATGCAATATTGTTTGCAGTAAAGCCATTATTATTACTATTATTCATACTTGGGTGGTGACAGTGGCTGAGAGTGAAGTCATGGGTGCGAATTTTGTACAATTTCGAACTCGTCATCTGAATGCCCCTGTATCCCCAGTTACGACTAATGATTTTCCCACTGTTAGCTGAACCCCGGTCATTTATGTTTTCAAGCCAAAATGTATTATTCAAATGAACTGTTGCCAAGATTTGACAGTTCTTAAATATTTGGGCGCCGAGACTGAAATGAGTAATTCCAACGTTTATTTCGACAATCTGGTGCGAACTTCTTGTGGAGACGTTAACAAATGTTTTATAACTGTTTGCCCATACACACACATACACACAGCATTGTATAACGCATATACACAAATATTTTCTCAATCAGTTATCTAGAACCATGAACTTTAGTCGAACGTAATCACCAAAATTCTGATGAAAAGTACACTCTGTTTAAAGTGTTTAACAAAGGTAGACCAATATTTGTAAGTCCAAGGTCAAATTTTGATCAAAGTTCATACAATTTTGTTTATTATACCTTTTTCCATGACTCATGATTGGAGAAAGTTTTTAAAAACAAGCCTTGTCCTTTATATATATATATACCTCTGTTGGCAGAAGTTAGAATTCATGAGCCGCTGAATTGTGTCTTAGTGGCTGAATGGTATACGAGCTTGTCTTGTAACTGAAAGGTCGTGGGTTGGAATCGCAGTGGGTGCGTACTGCCGGTGATTCCCAAACTAGGATGAAACAGTAGCTGTCCAGTACTCCAGTGCTTGTTTTCAATGGTTCTCTAACTGATATCAATCCATGATCAACTCGTAAAAACATAACTAGTCCTTACAAACCGAACTATAGAAAACCTCTGTCATGTTAATTTCGATTAATTTCCCTGAAGAAGTTCGGACCAGTTTGTCAAACGAAACGTTGGAATTACTCATTTCAATCCCGCTGAGATTTTACAAATATAATTTTTTACAAAATGTATTATATACTAGAACACTTTATCACGAAAGCTACCACATTACATTATTTTCATATTCCCCTTTAACTGATTTACACTGGAGTAGGATGCTTTCTCTCTCGGGTTCTGTTTCTAAGTAACATCAAATAAATAAAATAATGCTTCTTTGAAGGGAGTTTGTGTTTAATAACTGTGAGAATAAAGATGTTGTGTTTGTGGTAGTTTTTTTTATCAATAGTGTATGAACAAAACAGTCACCATACCATTCGTAGAAGCTATGGTGTTCTGATTTCGTATATTTCAGTACTCGTTCAATATATAAGTGCACGTATTTATGCTAAAGTCACTATGCGCCTAAGGTTCTGACTGTCAGTTCGAATGAAGTTACCTCAGACTGTTCCGCTGACATCAAAAATGTATCACAGACCTAGCCAGTTTATTCTAACACTTACCACTGACTGTTTAAGCTCGTGAAGACACAAGAGGCTGCAGGAGGTGTCTCACACTTAGATTACTAATCCACTGCAACTATAAGAAACCCTATTATTTGATTGGTGATGCTTAGCTTTGGGACACTGGGCGCGTGTTAAGGCCTATTTATAAAATTACCAGCCGTATTTACCAGCATCTCTATGGAGCGATGACATCCCAACTGACATGCAAACTTTCCAGTTCAATAAAATCAATCAACCGAAAGTTCAGAGGTAATAATTTCATCAACTCATTTGGTCAACAGCTTTTGTTACCATGAGTTCATCTCTTTGTATTAGAATGAATTTTTCAGATACTCTTAACTAGGCGGCGTATTGTCCGAGTAGAAAATAGGGTCTCAGCAGCACATCATTATTTCACGCGTTTCTCTACTGTCATTTTTACAGTTCTTGGGAGGAATTTGAAAGGAGTCCTAACTCGCGCTTGCCTGATCAGGCGACATTATTTCAACTACAGGGTACATTGATGAGGTTGTCAAAGGCAACAAAATCGAAAAATCAAGGTATGAGTACGGGAATCTACTGCGCTCAGCATGAGGAACAAAAATCGAATTTTCAAAAATAATGTTAAGTTATTCAGTTCTTCAGTGTGTCTCAGAGAAACATTGTGTGCGTTACCAAAAGCAGTTCAAACAGGCTACAACACACTTTCAACAATACTTGCTCCTTTCTCTCGATACCGAAGATCACATGACCGGCATGATTAGGTGAGCAACAAGAAACTTTGGCGATAATCCAAACTACCACCAGCCCCCTCCCAAACCGATATTATGGCTGGCTGGTTAGCGGGTTTCAACGTAGAACTTTGCACAGATTTGCAACACTTCGAGCTGCCACACACACACATACACAACAACAAAAGAGAGTAAAGAGAGATAAGGCAAAAAGAATAGTTATATGTAAGAACAATAGAGTTTTATTGGATGTGATAAATCACAAGGAACCATTGCAAAGCCTGCAGGAAGTACTGGGCAGCTGTTTCGCCCTGGCTTATTTGGGACTCTTCGGCAGTACGCACACACC